GTGGGATCTGCAGGGTCTGTGGGATCTGTGGGATCTGTGGGGTCTGTAGGATCTGCGGGGTCTGTGGGGTCTGTGGTACCTGGTCCTGCTCCATGAGCTCCAGGGCCGCCTGGTGCCGGCGGTACAGCTCGTGCCGCCGATCCACCGAGCTCTGGAAGCGCGGGATCTCCTTGGCAGGGTCCCGGGGGAAGGTCGGGGACCTCACCTGCGGCACGGGCTTGATGCCGGCCACGAACACGAAGGGCTTGAAGACAGACCTGGGGGAGAGGAGCACCGGCACGAGGGGGGGATGGAGGCTGATTCCCGGGAATACCTCATCCGGGAGGGAGCAGGGCTGGGCCCCTCCGAGGGCCTCACCTGGAGGGGTCGGGGGTGGCAGTGAAGAAGTGGACGCAGGGCAGGGCGGGGTCTCGGGGCAGCACGGACACCATGCTGCCCGCCGTGCGGAACCCCTCCGAGTCCACGCAGATCCCGCTGCCCTTGTCCCGCAGGATGGACATCAGCGTCTCTGCCGTGATGTGACCTGGAGGGACAGGCAGGGACATGGCACTGCTATCCCTGTCCTTGTCCCTGTCACTGTCCCCATCCCTGTCCTTGTGCCCACCCCAGTGCTGCCACAGCAGCTCCTTGCTGGTGCGGAGCAACCCTTGGCAATCCATGGGTGTCCATCCCAATCCCTGTCCTGCTCCCTGTCCTGTCCCTGTCCCCATTCTCATCCTTGTCCCTGTCCCCCCCCTCCATGCTGCTGCAGCATCTCTGTGCCAGCAAAGACGCAGCCCTTGGCAAACCATGGATGACCATTCCCATCCCTGTCCCTGTCCCCATCCCTGTCATATCCCAGTCTCTGTCCCTGTCCTGTTCTAGTCTCTGTCCTGTCCCCATCCCCATCATATCCCAGTCTCTGTCCCCATCCTGTTCTAGTCCCTGTCCCTATCCTGTCCCCATCCCCATTCCTGTCCCTGTCCTGTCCTTCTCCCTGTCCCCCTCCCTTCCCCTGTCCTGTCCCTATCCCTGTCCCTTCTTTGTTCCTGTCCCTTCCCCTGTCCTGCCCCCATCCCCATTCCTGTCCCTGTCCTGCCCCTATCCCTGTCCCTTCTCTGTCCCCCTCCCTTCCCCTGTCCTGCCCCCACCCCTGTCACCTGCGTGCTGCCTCAGCAGCTCCCTCCCCGCTCGGAAGCGGGCCTTGGCGGCCTCCATGCGCGGGGGCTGCTGCTCCAGGGAGAAAACCTGGGCGAAGCTGAACTCCCCGTGCCCGCTCCACCAGCCCTGGCTCCGCGCCCGCTGCCGCAGCCCCTCGTGCTCCGCCGTGATCTCGCTGCCGATGCTCAGCTGGTTGGAGATGTTGCGGCTTCCCTCTGCGACAGAGGGGTCAGCTGGGGGGGTGACGGGGGCACACAGCTCCCCGTGCTCCCAGTACAACCAGTGCCCGCTCACCGGTGATCCGCTGGGCCGCCCAGTAGCGCCCGGCGGTCTCCAGCACCCAGGCCTCGGCGCGGTCGGCCAGCAGGAAGGTGTTGTGGTACACGAAGGGCACCGGCTCCTCCTTGCAGCTCCCGCCCTGCCCGTAACGCTCCAGCAGCGCCGTCATCACCTCCAGGGCCTCCTGGGCCGAGCTGCCCCGCTCCAGACCCAGCCTGTGCCGGCAGTGCCCGTCAGGAGCCGGAGCGGGAGGGACACGGGGCTGTTCTCACCTCCCCAGGTCCATCTTCACCTCCCCAGGTCTGTCCTCACCTCCCCGGGTCCACCCTCACCTCCCCAGGTCCACCCTCACCTCCTTGGGTCCATCCTCACCTCACCAGGTCCACCCCCACCTCCCCAGGTCCACCCTCACTTCCCCGGGTCCATCCTCACCTCCCCGGGTCTATCCTCACCTCCCCAGATCCATCCTCACTCCCCAGGTCCACCCTCACCTCCCCAGGTCTGCCCTCACCTCCCCAGGTCCATCTTTACCTCCCCAGGTCCATCCTCACCTCCCCTGGTCCATCCTCACCTCCCCAGGTCCATCCTCACCTCCCCAGGTCCATCCTCACCTCACCAGGTCCATGCCCAGCAGCGCCTCCTCCTCGCCCAGGGGCTCTCGGGTCCACACGCCCTCATTGCCCACACACACTCCGTGCTCGTTGGCTCCCATCTCAGCACCCCAGAGCCAGGCGGGGCGGCTCAGCACCACGGCGTGGGTGTGCTCTGCCTGCTCCACCTCCAGGTACGTGCACTGCGGGGCACACGGGGTGGCTGGCACCTGCAGCGCTCAGGGCACCGTCCCCTGCAGCCACCCTGGCCCAGGAAGGTGCTCTGGGGGGGCTGAGACCTGACACACTCAGGGCACCCTCCCCTGTAGCCACCCGGGCCCAGGAAGCTGCTCTGGGGGGCTGAGACCTGGCACACTCAGTGCACCTTCCTCTGCAGTCACCCTGGCCCAGGAAGGTGCTCTGGAGGGCACATGGATGGGCTGAGACCTGACACACTCAGTGCACCTTCCTCTGCCCCAAGGAGGTGCACTGGGGGGGATATGGGGGAGCTGAGACCTGGCACACTCAGTGCACCTTCCTCTGCAGTCATCTTGGCCCAGGAAGCTGCTCTGGAGGGCACATGGATGGGCTGAGACCTGGCACACTCAGTGCACCCTCCCCTGCAGCCATCCGGGCCCAGGAAGGTGCTCCAGAGGGGACGTGAAGGGCTGAGACCTGACACACTCAGTGCACCTTCCCCTGCAGCCACCCTGGCCCAGGAAGGTGCTCTGGGGGGGCTGAGACCTGGCACACTCAGTGCACTGTCCCCAAGAGCCACTCTGGCCCAAGAAGGTGCTCTGGAGGGACACGTGGATGGCCTCGGACCCGACCCACCGTCCCCTGCAGCCACCCCTGGCCCAGGAAGGTGCTCCGGAGGGGATATGAGGGGCTGAGACCTGACACACTCAGTGCACCATCCCCTGCAGCCACCCTGGCCCCAGCACGGTCTCACCTGGACTTTGTCCCCGGGCTGGTGGGTGGCAGCGGGGACATACACGATCTCCTGGACCTCGTGCCGCGGTCGGTCGGCGTTCTTGGCGAAGATGACGGCGGGGGACGCGGTGTCGGGGGGCAGGGCCACGAAGCAATCGCAGGACGAGGGCACAGGACCCTGCCCCGCCATCCTAAACCCGGCACAGGGGACGGGAGGGGGGACACACGCCGAGGGGATGTCACCCCCTTGTGCCTGTCCCGGATGTGTCCCCAGGGTCCCTTTGGGGCCGCACTGTGGGATAACGCGGTCCCTGAAACCGGGGGGACACATCAGTGATCCCATGGTGGGGTGGGCACCGGGGACACCTCCCCCCCTCGGGACCCCGCCGCTCCGGGCAACCCACCCCTCCACCCAGTCACCGGGACCCCCCCACACCCACCGCGGACGGGACCCCCCTCCCGCCCATCCCCGGTAACCGGGGACCCCCGGGACCCCCCATCCCCACGGACCTGCCGCTGCTCCCGCAGCGCCGCCGCTACTCCCGGTCCCGCCCCTCCCGGTCCCGTCCCGCACCGTCCGTGCGACGGCGGCGCCCGGTGGTCGGAGGCCGAACGGCGGGGACCGGGACGGACACCGGGACAGACACCGGGACAGACACCGGGACCGGCACCGGGACAGACACCGGGCAGACACCGGCACCGGGACAGACACTGGGACCGGTACCGGGACAGACACCGGGACCAACACCAACACTGGCACCGGGACAGACACCGGGACCGGGGTTGGCACCGGGACAGACACCGGGACAGACACCAGCACCGGGACCCGCGTGGGGAGAGGGGACTGACACCGTCACCCGCATCCGCGTGGGATGGGGAGGGATCGGCCCCCAAAGGACCCCGGGGTGGGGGTCCCAGGTTTCCCCTTCCCGCAGGGCAGGGACGAGGCACCCGGGTATGAGCGGGGGAGGGTCCCGTGGGGCAGAACAACCCCCCTTCCCCGTGGGCAGTACCCCCGTGGGCATCACCCCGCGTGGGCAGCGCCCCGCCCGCCCCGCGCTATGCGGGCGGACCTGCCGGGCAGCGCCCTGCCCGCGGGGGGACCCCGAGCGCCCGCCCGGCGCGGGGGGGGGGGGGGGGGGGGGGGGGGGGGGGCCCCCGGGGGGGGGCCCCGGGGCCCCCCCCGGGGGGGGGGGGGGGGGGGGGGAACTGCGGGATGTGACCCTCGTGGGGGGCTCAGCTGGTCCTCAGCCGGGTCACCCCCCTCCCCCTAGCACCCTCCAGCCCTGGAGGCCCAAGGGCAGGGTGGGGGTCGGGGTGCTGGACCCTTGGACTCCTTGGCAGGGTTGATTTGGGGTTGGGGTATTGGACCCCTGGATGATTTGGATTTGGGGTGCCGGATCCCCGGGTCCCTTGGCAGGGATGGTTTGGATTTGGGGTGCCAGACCCCCGGGTCCCTTGGCAGGGATGATTTAGGGCTGCAGTGTCAGACCTCTGGGTGCCTTGGCAGGGATGCTTTGGATTTGGGGTGCCAGTCCCCTTGGGTCCCTCGGCAGGGATGGTTTGGGGCCGCAGCGTTGGACCCCTGGGTCTCTTGGTGGGGATGGGTGGGGGGGTCGCAGTGTTAAACCCCAAATCCCTCGTCAGGGATGATTTGGGGCCGCAGCACCAGACCCCCGGGTCTCTTGGCAGGGACGGAGCCGGGAGAGCCGGAGCGTGGAAAACACGCGGCGTTTATTCCAGTACAAAACCCAAACCCACAGCCCCGCAGCCTCTTCACAGCACAAACACTCCCCTCGCCGGGCGGGGGGCACCCCTTTGCCCCGGGGGCTGCAGCCCCCCCCTCCTCTTCGGGCCACCCCGCTCTCCCCCCCCCCTCGCAGCCGCCCCCCGGTGCCGGTCCCTCCCTGCCCCGGGGAGGCGGCCCCGGGGGTGGGGGGACGCGGCGGTTCGGGGCGCGGGGCCGGGATCCCCACGCCGGCAGCAGGCTGGACTGGTTTCCCGGCCGCCGTCCCTCCCCACCCGGTTTTACAGCCTTCATTGCCCCATCGCGGCAAGGCAGAGCCCCGGGGGGGTGCGGGGGCTGAGCACAACCCGGGGGGGGCACAGCACACCTGGGGAGGGGGGGGCACAGAACACCTGGAGAGGGGGGGGCACAGAACACCCCCGGCTCTGAGACAGGTGAGGCTGAACCCCCAGTCCCGGCGTCACAACGGGACCCCCTGCTCGGCGGTTCCCTCCCCAGCCCACCCTTGGGGTGCCTCTGCTGCAGCCCCCTCCCCAAAATCTGCAGCACGGGGTCCCCAACAGGTCAGAGCCCCCCCCCAGGTGCTGCCGGAGCCACTAAAACCCCACTGTGGCACTTTGGGGAGGGTCCTGAGCCCCCCCCCCCCAGGGAGGGAAATCCCATCCAGGGGGCACCGCGGGGGAATTTTGTGCTGGAAAAGGCAAATGCCGGAGTCGGGGACGTCCTTCGAGAGCTGCGGGCAGCCCAGGTCACCCGAGTCCTGCAGGGGGACAGCGGTGGCCGTGCCAGGGCTGGGGACACGTCCTTTGCAGACCCCCCCCAGCGAGACTTCACCTCGTGCTGGGGGGCTCCAGCCCCACGGCTCGTCCCTGCCCCACGGCGCGGGGGGGGGGCTGCTGCCAGCCCCTCCCACATCCATGGGGACAGGGACAGGGATGGGGACAGGGATGGGACCCTCTGAAGGGTCCGACCCCCCTCCTCCCCATCCCCGCAGCCCACGGCCCGGGACGTTCCCTCTGCCCGAGTGGCAAAGCCTGGCTTCACCTTAATAAAATAATAATAATTAATAATAATAATAATAATAATTAATAATAATAATAATAAAACAATCGAACCCGAAGGTCTTGGGGCGCCCTCTGGGCACGGACCCCACTCGACTTCACCTCTACCCTTTCCCCCCCAGACCCCGGGGGGCTCCGAGCCCGGGCAGCCCCCGACACGGCCCCCCCAGAGCCCCCCAGGATGGGGCCATGCCGGGAGATCGGCTCCCCACAAATTTCCCCCCCTCCCCGGACTCCCAACTGGTGTGAACTGGTGTTGGCTGGGGGGGCAGAGCCGGGTGGGACCCCCGGGTGCCCCCGTTCTCCCCTCCCACCCCACCCCAGCCTCCCTCCGCCCCCCAAAGCTCCCCCTCAGGTCCCGGGTTCAGCGTCTCCTTCTGTGTCCAGGGGGTTCTGCCAAAATCGGGGTGCGAGACCCCCAAGGTCTAAAAACCGAGTTTCGTGGACCCCCGGTCAGGGGTGCAGGACAGACACGGGGCCCCCTGGGGACAGGGCGTCGACCCCAGGGGAGGAAAAATACGGGGTCCCTGCTGGGGGATGCCCACCGGGAGATCCGGGGACCCGGGAAGGGACAGCTATGGGGTCCCCGGGGGGACAGGCAGCATGCA